AGGTCGCCGCCGTGCCGTGCTCGCACCCAGTACTGGACGCGCCGCCGGAGGAATGGGCGGGAAAACAATGGGGTGAGGGCTGAGGCGGTAGCAGTGGGGCTGTGCAGCGAGGTGTGTGTGAGGCGAGACCCGGCAGCGTGTCTTCGGTAGCCTGATAAAAAGGTGTGTTACTGTCTCACAGCGTGTGAGGCGGGTACAGATGGACTATCGAAGGGTCTTACAACAAGGGATAAATTGTTTTCTCAGTGGTGAATACCAGCTCTAAATGGACCCAGAAAACCAGTGTGGAAGAAGGCTGATAGGCTAGACAAATGGACTAGACCAGTGAGCGTCACTGGGGAAATTGGGAGGGCAGAAGAACATAATCAAAGGACCAGATTAATAGGAAATGTGGAAATATTATGAGGCCCACATTGTAAATATGGTGTGGTAATGAAAGTGAAGCTGAATTTGAGTGTAAAAGGAAGAAGATGGTTACCTCTTGTGGACTTTTGAGAAATGACAGTTGTGTGCTAACTACATAAAACATACCGTTTTTTTGTCCTATTTCACAGCCTTTGTTCAGGTTGTGTTAGGATTGAAGGGTACTACCAGTTAGGAAATAAGATCCAGAAACCTTTCTCTTCATGTGGTGCCTGCTGTTGCAAATTAATTGACCAATTTACTATTGTTGAATAAAGTGCACAGGTATTGTCTTTTCCTAGTATACATTTACATTCTTTCTGTACGGTCATTTTCACTGTTCTCCATATTTTGTGTTGACAGTCCTTGTTTGCCCTACAGGTTTTTCCAACAAAAATGAAGAAAGGAAAGAAAGGAAAAGGAGGATAGAAGTTTTTTTTTCTTTAGAAAAAAAATTAGAAGGTTTATCTTTGTTTGTAATTTGCATTTGGAAACTAAAGATACCTCCTTCTTAAGCAGCAATAAAGTGTTGGGTATTGAGGTAATTAATTTTTTTCATCACTTGTTGTAACTGCAGTGGGGAATGATCGCTGGACTTTGTGAATTGTGGGGTGTTTGTTTTTTTTTCTCCAGTCATTTGAGTGTCCCCAAATAATTGTTTCACAAAACAGAGTGATCTCGAATGCCTGATAGTGACTGCTGACTTTCGGAAGTTAAGCAACTGGCTACAGAAATGTTGAATAGCAAAGATTCTTAGCTTCTGTTGTTCCCAAGGGCATCTAAACATGAGATAAAAATGACAGTTAGCCAGTTTCTAGTATCACGCCTTGTATTGAATAAAACTACGTTAAGGGTTTGATTCTTTTGGTTAAAATAGGCAGCTTTTGGGAGGGAGGCAATTTCCAATTTAATGTTTTTCCTATTAGAATCCAGAAGATTCGAAGATTAATATTTATTTCAGTAAAATAAATGGAAAAAGGCAGGCTAAGACATAGATTAATTAAGTGCAGTAGCCTGTTTACTTTTTGAGGATATTCTTATAAATGGAAAAAGAATTTGAATAAAAGTAGATACAGAGATTTAAATAGTTTCAGTGACCTAAAATAATTCTCTAGGATTCTTGAATTCTGGAGTCTTTCATTGAAAAATCTTGAAAATCAGGTTTTGAATAGAAAAATATATGTACATGGATTCTGGAAAAGCTAGAATGTATATTTAAGATCTAATTTTAGATTTCCATCACCGGAAAGAAACTCTGAACACTGGCTTTTCGCTTGATGGGGAGGTAAACCAGCAAGAAACTGGGGCTGGGGAAAGAGGCAGGAGGAGGAATAACAATGGAGGACAAAGAAACAGGAAGAACTTTTATAGTCACTTTCTTATACCATGCTTATAACTGTAATGTGTGCACATACTTTCATTAAACTGTCAGGTCCAACACCTCAGCAATGGCAAGAGCCAGACAGGACGCTTGGAACATTTTTCCCTTTCCTTGTGCTCTGTGGACTACACAACCTCCTCTCTGTACTGCAGCAGCAATTTTTTCCAGTGGTCAAAAGCAACAGCTGCCACCATTCTAACCACAGTGGGCTGCAGAAAAAATTGTCTGTTAGACAGAGTTTGCAGAAGAAAATTGTTCCCTGGACTGGCTGACACAAAGCTGTCGGGCTCGGAAGCATTTTGTGGCCTGAGTTTGACCCATGGAGCACTAGCTGGACCATACTAAGTAATGCAATTCATGTGTTTTGAGGACATACCTGTTCTATCGTTCTCTCTAGAAAGGAAGAAATGCCTGGCTTGGAAAGATTCCTTTTCTGGGTTGGTTATTTGGGTCTGGGTTAGTTCAAAAATCTATCCCTTCTTTTACAGGACCCAGGATCAGGTACTTTGGAAAACATGTAAGCTAGGATGAACATTCAATTCTGTCTTTTCAGAACAGTCTAGGAACTGGGGACTTCCCAACACAAAAATAGCTGTCTCGTGGTCTTGTACAAAAATATGTCCAGTAATACCTTTCAGTATTGAAACTGCCTTCCAAAACAGTACGAGGTTAGGGATAAAAGTACGAGGTTAGGGACAAAACCGCATGGGCAATCAAAAGGGGCTTCAGGGCTCTGGGGTGACAGGTTAAGGGATCAGGAGCACAAGTAGTGTTCTCCTCTATCCCTCCAGTTGCAGGGGAAGATGAGGGAAAAAACAGGAGGAGTCAACAGATCAATACTTGACTCTAAGCCTGGTGTCACACTCAAAATTTGGGGTTCTTTGATTATGGGTCAGTTTACATGGCACCAGGCCTGCTGGCAACAGATGGGGTACACCTGTTGCAAAAGGAGAAGAGGATCCTAGCTCAGGAGTTAGCAGGGCTCATTGATAGGGCTTTAAACTAGATTTGAAGGGGGAGGGGGATAAAACCAGGCTAGCTAGTGAAAAGCCTGGGGGTGGCAACTCAGCTGTTAGTGGATGGTGTGCTAGCGAGGACCTTCACTCTGCTGATGGATCCCATTCGATAGCCTGTCGGGAAAAGCTGTAAAGGCAAACTCTGGACTTATCTTCTGCAGCACCTTCTTCAACAAATGCTATGCACCCTGCAGCATTCACTTTTAATTTTTGAACCCTTTCCCATGTCTTTTGGCTTCAATAATAAGGTTTGTAATACTCGGTAATGTCACCAAAGAACCGTCATTAACTGCTATGTTGAATAATCTTCCTACAAGAGACCTAAACAAGTGTTGGATACGCTGTAGTTCTTCCCTCCATGGTACTGTGCCATCACTCTGGTACGTGGGCTGATCAAAAATCCGCTTGAGTACAATGTTTCCGCCAGTTCGCAGCTGGGAGAGATCCTATTTGGGGCATTTCTCAAAAGAATTAATTAATCTGGGGTTTAATTTAATCACTACTTTCAGCAACAAAACTGTATACAAAGTCTGAATCTGAAGTTTTGGGAG